CGTGTGTGTGTGTGTGTGTGTGTGTGTCAGTACTGGGGCTTGGCCTTGAACTCAGAGCCGTGTGCACTTGCTTAGCTAATTTGTTTTTCCCTCAAGGCTAGTGCCCAATCACTTGAACACATCTCTACTCCTGGCTCTTCAGTGGTCAATTGCCCAAACTGGTTTTAGACCATGATCCTCAGGTCTCAGCCTCCTACATAAGCAGAATTACAGGTGTGAGCCACCAACGCCTATCTAGTTTGTTCTTTTCCTTCTGACTCAGGGTAGCCTTTCGGCATGCAGAAGTTTTCCTCTTACATAACTCCGTCTTTTGTCACTGTTCTCTCCTAAGGCTCGGTTAAGAATTATGTGTAGAACTTTTGAAGTGTTTGCCTTTTTTAATGCATAATATTCCATTTGAACAAAATTCAGTGTAGGATGTGAAATCAGAAATGACCTTTTCTCTTCCAACAACTTTTGAACAGGCCGGCCAAACCATTGTCAAACACCCTGCTTTTTCCACTCTGACCTAAGAAAGCTCCTGGCCGTGGGCTGGACCTCCAGTGTTTACCCCAGTGTTTAGTCCAGATTTTCTTTTCTGCTGTGTCGCATTTCTCTGTGTCCCTGCAAAGCCCCCATATTCTTTTAATTACGGAAACTCAAAGTAGGTTTTCGAGCCTAGAAGGGCAAGGCCCTCTCACTTTTCAAAATCAGGAGTTAGATTTTTAGCACCTTCCCAGGTGAACTTTGTCACGTTCTCCCCACAAACATTTTGTTTGGTATTTTGATTGGCATCGTGTAAAATGAATTCATTAATCGGCATCTTTTCAATATCAAATCTTCCTCTCTCTCCACCGGCTGGAAGCGTTTTGTCCTTCCTTTGAACTTCCTCAACACTTCATACCTTTTTAAAAAAATTCACTCTCTAAACTATACCCACACAATTTCTCCAGCCTGTAACCCGAGTGCCATCCCTCTCCCTCTCTTCCCAACCCTCACCCCATCCAATTAATCATCAAGGCCCATCTGTGCCGCCTCCAAATTCACCCGCTTCTGCCTGCCCCCTCCACCAGCACCCCAGTCCACACTGCCAGCATTTCTTTGCTGAGCCACCACCCTGGCCTCCATCTGACCCGGCTGCATCTGCCCAGCCTTCTAAGCTATTCTCTGCACTGCAGCCAGAACCGCTCTGTTTAAGAGACCAATCTGATTGTGACAACACCAATGCACGGCACTTCAAGAGGAACTGAGAAAAAGATCCTAGGTGGAGTCTGGACAACCTGGTCTGAACTTGCAGCTTGGACCAACCAGTCCATCCTTTCTTGCCTTATTCAGAGTGATTATCAAGTGAAAGCATTTATTTTTCCATCTCAGGGCCTTTGCATGTGCTGTTTCCCCTCTGTAGACTGTTCTAAGAGTCCTCCCATTATCCACTTTAAGAAGATTCAGTTTTATCCCACCATTTGAGAGGCTGAGGCAGGTGAACAGTGACTTTGAGGACCAGTTTGGTCTACATAGCAAGAAAACAAGAAAAAAGAATACCCCATTATCTGGAGCAACTCCCTTTCAGCCCCCAACATGTCTGCCACCCCTCATTCAAGTCAGTGTCTAGCAATAAAAGATGAATGGTAGTAATAAAGATGGTACTCATAACCTATGCTTTCCAAATAATAAGGGATGGTTCCCTCCACCTGATCGTGTTGCCAGTGCTTGCAGACCTGTGCTCAGGTGGCGCTGCCGGCTTGTGAGAGTGGGGCCTGGTCTTACAGCATTTGCACGGACATCGATGCTGAAATCCACTCTTTTCTTTTAAACTTCCATGCTTCCTTACTTGTCCTGTGGGCACTGGAAAGCGGGTAGTCCATTTACAACACAGGGAAGGGCTTTCAGGAAGCAAGTCCAGCACTCTGACCCCTGGGGTGAGCAGCTCACCCGTACATCGTCCAACGCCAACATCGGGTCGCGCTGGCCGCGCCCTGGCCTGATGTGTCTGCAGCTCCCCTGCGAAGCACATGGCGCTGAGTGCAATGCGCATGCTCAGTGCATCCCTGCTGATGTGTCTGCAGCTTCCCTGCATAGGGCACAACACTGAGTATAAGGTGCATGCTCAGAATATGCATGTGTCATGAGAATGTGGTACGGAAAATTCAAATGTTATTATGCTGCAACCTCCTCTAAGAAGCCTTCCTTGATTTCTCCTACTTAGTCACTCCCTACTCAGTATCCCCATAACCCTTTTTGCTTTTACCTCTTAGGAGACTTAACATAATTATAACACTTCAAAAGTAGCTGTCTCTTCTTCCCTGACTGTAGAATGCTGAACAACATTGATTTTATTGGTTCTGTTCTTTGTGCATAATTTCGAGCACATGTGTGTTCAGGAATACGGATTCAGAGACTCAGCCATTTCACAGCTATCTGCCTGAAGTCCAGCCTAGATGTTGCTGGTAGTTTGAAGTATAGCTACAGATGAGAAGATGAGAATCTCTGCTCTCAGTGGATACACACACACACACACACACACACACACATACACACACACACACATACACACACACACACACACACACACACATACACACACACACACACACCCCACCCTCACCCAGTTCCAAATGACTACAGTCCCTCTGAAAACTTGGGTCATTCCTAACTGCACAGAGAGTTGAAGATGGGTTCCAACATACTTGTGATTATACCTGCCTATCTCCCCCAGTCCTGCGACGGTGATCGGCACCTTGAAGACACAAGCAGTACTGCAGACGTGCGAGGTGTCCAGGAGAGAAAGCCACTCACCTAGCTCAGGGATCATCCAAACTCCCGGCTTCCTCTCCCCCCGCCAGTCCTCCTCAGCCTCCCCTGTCATCCTGAGTCACGGACACCACGGTAGTCCTCTTCCATCCTGTAGCTCCTCCTCCTCCCCCCCTCTCCGCCCTCCTCCACCTCCATACTCATGTCCAGCCCTGTAGCTTTACCTCCTATCTTCATTCTTCCAGGCTCAACACCCTCAAAGCCTTCCCCTCAGAACCTCTCGCCACAGCCACCTTCCTGCCCTACCTCCCAGCATGCTTCACTGGCCTCATGCTTCCTGCGCCACCAGGGCTCCTGTCTACTTCTTGGCCTGCCTGGGCCAGGACATCACTGTTCACACCGTCATGAGCCGTGCGGTACTGCCCCCACACCAGCGAGCGGCGCCCTGGGACGGGACAGGGGAAGGGAAGCCATGTACATGGACCAGCGAGGGAGGGCAGACCACTGTGGCTTGTCCCTTCCTGTGACCCACCCCATTGCTCAAGGTCCCCTCCTTCAGAGAGGCCTCCCTGCCCCCCTGCCCAGACCCCTTGCTCTCCTTACCTCATGCCTCGCTGCCTGAAGTGCTTTGTCATCCGTGTCGCCCCCTAGTGCATGACCGTTATACTAAGATGAGGACTTGGCCTGGCTCCTTTCCCTGGCTGGGAGACAGCCCCGTGGAGGTCACAGAAGAAAGACCACCTTGAATGAGGGCTGAACTGGGCCTCTGGGGGCTTAGAACCGTGACCCTGTGGCCACCTTGGAATGTCTCTCAATAGTAATAGTAATACTACTACTACTAATAATACTTGAGATGCGCTTATCTCAGGAGGACAAATTCCAAGGCAAAGTTTTAAATGAGCACACCTAGACATGATCCTTCCCACCCCTCCAGTTCATTACCTAGCTGGAAACACAAAAGAAGGATGAAAGAATTTATCACATGCTGCGTTTGGAATCTGCCCAATATAGTTCCTGGTATCTGGCGTTCTCTTGTCTACATCCCTTATTTCCTTTTTCTAGGTCCAGTATTCTACCGTCAGTGCCACCTGCCTTCCTGTCAACCACACTCTTTCTCCAAATGCAACGCTGTGGCCCGCTGGCCTAGGCAAGGAGCCCCAGCGGTCCTCAGACTTCTTGCCAAATCAAATGTGAACGCCCCTTCACAAGCCCTCCCTTCCTCGGAAAACACAATTAGAGCAAAATGCATGTGACAGAACACTGGCCTCCGGACCACTTCTGCGTGAGCAACGCAGTAGTGTAATGTCTGCACTGCGGTGAGCACTTGTGATCTGGGTCACTGAATGACCGTCCATTCTCCCCACGTTCCCTTCCCCTCAAGAGCCGCCATTCACAACGGCCTCTATGAATCTGACTCCCCTCTTGGGCTGTTTTGTAGTCTCATGCCCTCCTCTTCCTACCTCACACACAATGAGACCTGGGCGAAGCCCCGCAATGCACCTGGCCCCAACGGTGACACCAGGCACCATCTCGCCTGTGCACGTCCTCCTCTCCCTGCGGCCAGTGCCCATGGTGTTCTACAGAACAGTTCTCATCCTCGTTGCCCATCCAAGCCCTCCCCCTCCCTCAAATGCGGCCTTCAGTTCCCATCAACTCCATCCCACAACTCCAGCTACCTCTGACTCTGCTTGAGACGCATAGTCTCTCCACTGGATACGTTCTGCCTTACACTTACAAAGTCTCCATCTTACTAACTTCTCCAAAAGTTAATGAGCTCCCAAACAAGGAAGAAGCTATGGCTTAGACATCATTGATACCTCCCGCCTAGAAAGAAGAGGCATCTAATAAATTCAAAACTTAACAATCATGCAAAGCAGAAATTCAGGAACAATTGCACTGCTATGTGATTTTTACTTTCAAGATGTTTCCAAAAACATCACTCTGCCACACAGTTGAGAAGTGTTCTCGAGTCATTGTCAAGAAAAACTTACCACCCACAACATCAAGAGCTGTTATCTGACTGCTTGCAGTGAAGCCCAAGTCAAATTTGTAAGGGGTGTTCGGCAAGTGAGCTGTCAGGGGCATCTTCTCCAGCGTGCAGAAGCTGCTTATCCACACACATCTAGAATCCAGTCTACACTTCCTCATCCAGTGTCTAGCCTTTGCCCCACATTTCCCACAGCAACAGAAAGGTGTAGAAAAGTTGGCTGGAGCGTAAAGAGGCTGGGAAGGGAAGGAGAGCAAAGGCTGGAGAATCACCTGTCACTCACCTGTGTAAATGAATCTTCCTGGTGCTCCTTTGCAGAACTGTTTGGATTTGTAAGATAATGTCACTTCCACAACGCCAGGGATGTGCCGGGGAGGGGTCTGCACACGGATGGCATGGGGGGTTATCAGCTGAGGAGGCACACAGAGGGGAACAGAATACCGTTAGAGCAACCACCAGCAAGGACGCCACTTCCGGCTGCATGCATTCATTCATGCAGCAATTTCCAAGCCCAACGCAGCACTAAGACCTATCTTTCTGTAATGTTTCTTGTTGTTGTTGTTATTATTATCATCATCATAAGAGTACAACATATCTGATGTAGAAAGCTGAAAGAATGACACAAATATCTAGAGGGAAGTAATGTTGCACAACTCAGAGATAGTCAATGTCATTTGATCCTCTTCCAGTACATTCCAGGGTTGTGTGTCACAGAATGAGCTTTCCCCTGGGCAGGAGCTGTTCTGATTTGTGAACTTCTTTGCATTCTAGTACACACCTAGGCATATCTCTCCTCTCATCAGAATTTTTCTGAATCAAAATTTTCAATGGTAGCATCACATTCTATTGTGGAATTTTTTTTGTTTTTGTTTTTTTTACCATTCTCCTATAATCCAATATGTAGGCCTTTTTTTTCTTTTCTTCCTTGCTTTAAAAAAAAAAGAATGTACATAATGTTCCAGTGTACATCTGTCTTTTTTAATTGGTACCGGGGTTTGAACTCAAGGCCATGGGCTTTCTTGGCAGGCACTCAACCACACCTTCAGACCTTTTTGCTTTGGTTATTTTTGAGTCTTGGTCTCATCTTTAGGCCTGGGCCAGCCTGGATTGTGATCCTCCCATCTATGTGTATGTCTCTGCTCTTTATTAATCGCTATGAGGGTTTCTCACCCACTTTCCCCAGGCTGGCTTTGAACCATGATTCTCCTGATCCCTACCTCTCCCAGGCAGCTAGGATTACAAGTGTGAGCCACCACGCTTGGTAGGCATGTATGTTTTTAAGGAATCTGTCCCTGCTGGACTCATTACCTTCATAGCTTGCTTTCCTTTTTGCTCTGCTCGAAGTAGGTGCCCAGTACTAGGCTGCTCATGCTGCTGCTTTGGGAATTAAGTAGCCTTTCACCTACCTCGCTCCACACGAGCATGGTGCCAAACACCACTTGGAGACCATCGAAGAAGTTGTCGCCAATGATGATGACCATAGCGCCGCCCGTGGTCCAGCCCTCACTCGGGCTGATGGCTTTGATGCAAGGGGTAGCTAGAAGGACAGGAAAAGGAAAGTCATCTCTGTCCTTAGGTGCCTGAAGTTTAGATTTTGAGGAATGAGCTTAGCTTTTGGTCATCTGAAGAAGTTCAAGTTGAGTGGTGTTGACTTGCCATCCTTCCCTAATTGGATGTTGATTTTTTATACCAGGTCATTAAGCCTAATGAGTTGACCATTATGTACGAAAAAGCGAAACACTTAGCTAATTGTGCAAAGGGTGTTTTTAAAGCTCTGTTGTTTTTGCCCATATTTTTATAAGTGGATCACACTAGAAAAGTGTAAATCCTTTTGCTCTCCCCACCTCCTCTGCCCCGTGACGCCAGAAGACTTACAAGGCCCATTAACATGCTGGGAAGAAAGGGAGAGAGCAAAAGCTATCAATGCTGAAGTTCTTTTTGTTTGGGGCTTTGTCTTTTCTTCCAGTTTTATCAAGAGGCAATTTCTAATCGTTCTTGTAGCTTTATAGGAATGGTTTTCCTCCCTTCCTGCCTGCCTTCCAGGCCTCCTGACTTTACATCCCAATAGGAACCCAATATGGTTTTCAGGCCATAACTAAAGTCAATCCATCACTCCATTTCCAAAGTTGACAAGGTCAAAGGTGGAGGAGAACTTTGGCAGGACTCCAAAAACACGAGCCCCCTTTGAACAGCCAGTCAATCACATTCAATCAGTCAAAAGGAACTCGAGGGGCTCCTAGCTCTCAACCCTGGGCTTTGCTTCTCTCCTTTCAGTACCCACTGTGGGAGAATTAACACCACTCCAAATTCTTTACTGATTCAATCATTTTCTTTCAGTTCATTAATTCCTATTTAAAGTGATACAAGATATGTTTTAAGGGCTGAGTTGGGGTATAGGCTGGTAGGCAGGATATAGGAAAACATCACACTAAAAATAGTAGCCTAACTTGGCCATTCATTCTGTATTATAAGGCTTTCTTACATTGGTGAGTGGAGGAGGAAGGGGAGCAAATGAAGGCAAACTCTCTTAGGTTTGTCAGTAATGTTCATCGATACATGTTAATTTTTTTGGACAACTTGAAGTTTAACAGTTACCGGTATTTCTAATTACTTTAATGCACTTGGAAAACTACCCAGAGCTGCCCGTGATTTCTTCTTGTCCAAGCAAACAAAAATCAATTAGTGTCAGTTTCATTCTGCACATTGTTTTGTTTTGCCCACAATCTGTTTAAGGACACATCTGACACTCATTCATACATGTCTGGCACGGTAATGTCCCTGTTTAACTAAGATGTCATAGGCCTGCACTTGCCTGAAATGCAAAAAGAAAAACACAGCACTGGATGGGAGTCAGAGGCACAGGAAATGGAGCGCTGGCTGGGGCTGAGCCGGGTTTGTGATGGTCCAGGCCTCAGTGTTTACAGAAACCCACACGCTCTGGGGGTACCTCCTCCAGGTGATGCTGAGACAGCAATGTGAAATTCAAACAAGGAAACTTGTAGAAAGCTTCCATTGATCTGCTACGCTCCTACCTTCAGATGGGTCGAGCCTCCTCGCTCTCCGCCCGTGCTTGGAATTGTTGTGGACGAACATGTTGTCCGAGACAGCCAGCACGTGTCCATCCACATTCACCGTGGTCGACAACACCACCTGCATGGAAAGGACAATGGGAAATACCAAGTCCCAAACATCCCAGAATTCCCTCTCACCAGACTTTAGTTTGACAAAGAGGAGACAGGACAGAACTTGGGAATGAGTTATGTTCTTAATAGCTCAACAGACTTTTACCCCCTCCTGTAAGTATGGAAAAGCTTTATAGCAGGGGAGGAGGGGTCGGAGAATGAGAGGCAGTCCACAGCCCCTGTGTTGTCATGTATTTGTGTTTAATCTCTGTGTCGTGAGATTGGAAAATTGGCCTTGTGCCTGCAAGGTCCAGAAACCTTGCTCTCTCTCAAAGGTTTGGGCTGTTATTCCCGGCAGGGCTTTGAACTTTAGTCACACTGAGTGTGTGCAGTGTGGAATCCAGGATGGATGGAATGGTCAGCTGGAAGACCACTTCTCCACCCTGGGAAATGGTTCCCATACTTCAGAAGTGGCCCCAAACCATGCCGGGCATCAGAATGGCAGTGGATGGTTGTCCACAGCCTCCCTTCCCACTCAGGAGCAGTAAGCAAAGATGCTCTGACTGTTGGCGAGAAGCTGAAGTTCCCAGGATTCACTGTGGGGAAGAGGAGGACCTGGTCTCTCACTGGAGGAAAGGAAGGGAGGCGAGGGTGTGGTGTCGTACAAAGACAAGAATTTGGATTCAGAACCCATCCAAATCCCAAGCCGCAACTTCCCACAATGAATCTATGACAAATGACTGAATGTTTTTCAATCTCAGTTCTGCTTATCTGTACAACATAAATAAAACGACCTAGCTCTCAGGCCTGCATGAGATAACGAAAGACGCACTCAATACCTTCCAAATTAGAATCGTTTATAGCCCGTGGGCCTCACCCCTGCCCCATCTGACCCGCCAGGAACACGCTGATGCTACCTGCAAGATTCTCCCATGATCTAAGTTCTGGGAGCCCACCTGGGTCTGCCTACCACCCATGGGCTTTACCTAGGAAGCTGAGCCATCAGGACAAAAAACTATGTCTCAGCTCTCCTCAGTTAAGCATGGTATTTTTTTTTTAAAGGAAGGAGCTTGTTATACTCACGCTCATGAATATGTATAGCGCACTGGAGGAAGGGCATTGAATAGGTACCTAATGAGAAGCAGTGTTTCCAAATGACTCATCCTGCCTCTGCCCCCAAATGTAATTTGTTGATATTCTACTTGTAATTGTTGTACCACCCCTTTCTTCCTCATTAAATGAGGGAGGAGGGGGGAGGCACTTGACCCTGCCTTACCTCTTAATAGGAAAGAACTCAGTGGCATTTTAAACCTTGTTATTATGAATAAGTTAAGATGAGCAAAACAAACTCAATAGGGTAATGACTCCCTAGGTCCCATTGTCCAGCTTCAAGACTTGTCAAAATCTTACCGTTCTCATTTCATCTATGTGATGATGGTAGCCACAGGTTTGGAGGTGGGGAGGGTTTTGGTAGTTGTTTTTTAAGTTAAAAATTACAGGCACTGAAGTGCATGAGACTTAGCGGTACATTCACATTGCTTTAACGATATGAAATAATTTCTGTTTCCAGAAAATTGTCTTAGGCCTTTTCCCAGTCACTCCTAACCACCACCACCCCAAACACACAAAGGAACACTCTTCTCAGACTTCTACTGATGTTTTGCCCTAAAGAGAGTTTGAGATGGCATCTTTTCTTATTTTTATAATGTTTGTAGTTTGTAATGCAGTCGGTTTGAGTGAATCTCTAAGATTCTCAAGCCCACAAATCATTCCACACTGCCTCACTCCACAGGCAGACGCGGCGTACATGAAATCCCACACGGACACAAGAAGGTTTCAATCACTCAACTCAACAGATATTCACTGAGCTCCTACTACACGGCAAGCATTAGGACAGGCCCTGGGGGGCTCAAGGAATAAACTTAAAGAAACCTCAGTTGTCATTCAGAAAATTATCACCCATATAATTGCTCACAATTCAGGGATGCAGCCTCTCTAGCTCTGGGTCTGTTTTCAATTGTGACTGTGTTAACAGGTTAGCGTCTGAGCAAAGTCCTTCTCGAGAGTTCTATCATGTGGTGGCAACCACAAAACAGAGCTATCCATCACTCTTGGCATGGGTCTGATCAGAGTGATCATGGCAGCCAAGGCAACAGACTGGCATAGGGGCCATTGCCTGTGAGAGTGTGTACCCCTGAAAACAACAGGAGGTGTTGGGCCCCTCTTAATAACTAAGAGTGCACATGGATTCCACCCCACCACCCAAAACAAAGGCTGTCACCTGTGGGAAACAAGCCAAAAGTCCCAAATGACCACCAGGAAAGGTGCTTCAGACATGAGCCCGGAGAAGGGACCTGCAGCCGCATGAGAGGACAGCGTGAACCGGGGCGCATTCTCTCAGAGAAGATACGAGCGCGCTCCTGGTACATTCCTGCCACAGAAAAAGGGGCTTTCGCCGAGCCAGCGGATTTCATCATCGTCCGTTTGGGTGGAGTGAGACTGACTTCCAAAGTGAACATTTCCCAAATGACATACCCTGCCGGTTCAGATGCACTTCATTATTTTCTATTAACAATGGAAATAAATTTTAATCTCTTGCTGGCTAGTGCCGGCCTCTCATGACAGCAAGGGAATTAACCTGAATTATTTCAGTGTCTGCAAAATTTATTACAAGATTTTAAATTATGTCCAAATGTGTGTAAAGATATATATATATAGAGAGAGAGAGAGAGAGAGAGATTGAAAGAAAGAGACAGAAAGACAGAGGAGAGACAGATGAGGCAAGTTTCAGTTTTTTATATTCCACAAAGAGCATGCCAATTAAACTTGATTTGCAAAATACAATGGATTTAACGCACAGACACCATCACAGGAATTCAGGCGCATTGGCTGCTGTGCCTCTGGTGCAGATGTGTATTCAGATGCTGACTTTCCTACACACTCCCTCTACTTCTGGAAGAATGAACTCCATTAGGCAGGTGAAGATACTTCTGATTCAGTCAACGCTTTGAATTTAACTTCCTTCACTGTCTCTTGATGAATGATGACAACCCTGATATTATTCTATTCAGAGAAGTTAAAATTTCTAAATGTTTTAAGACTGAAGGAAGTGGGACGTGCATTCCAACATCATCTCACTCCCAGGCTTCCCCTTCCCCAAGCCAACTTCTTTCCCCTAGTGAGTATTTCCTGGGTCATGGAGACTGACCTTTTCCATCTGGAATCAATCAGTCAACCCCTGACAACTTCCTGAAACACCTCACTCCATTTCCTGTTCTCTCCCCCTCCTCGCTTTCCCCCTGCTTTGCTTCACTCTTCAAAACTGCAGGCCCCAGCGGCTTCACGTTAGAGGGTCAGGCACAGTTAGACTCCAAAACACTACACAAGGACACCTTTGACCTTCAAAAATCTTTACATCTTAGCTAAACAAATCAAGGTCAACATTTCTTACCATTACCTCGTTAACTATTTGTATGCATCTTTACCAATGCGCTTCTGGCCAAGCCGTCATCAATTCCACTTGTTCTCCTAAATCATAAACTGGTCTGCTTTAAAAGCAGCAAGCTTGGTGTGGGTAGAAGGTGCCAGTTGAAGGTGCCCAAAGCTAAAACTCATGCGTGTGCTATCAAATGCACAGGAGCGGATTCTGTACCAAAGCACTCCAGTGCCTCTTCGATGTCTCCTGTCACCTACACGTGATTCCTCATTTTTTTTCCCCAATGCTATCGAGACTTTCTGGCGGTGCCATTCAGCTGGCACAACCCTGAAGAATACAAATTAGGAATACAGATGTCCATAATTTGTGAGGGATGGACCCCGGGTTTTTGCTAGTGACACCAGTGACAACTTTCATTTATTTCTCATAGTTGATGTATCTGTACCTCAGCTCGAAGCCCCGACAGCAAACCTGCAGATCTGAATACTAAGTCATTACAGACGATTGCTATCTGCCCTGCACACATTCAGTCCATTCATCGTGAACCTTGGAGTCAAGGTTCTCGGGAAAGAAGTCAGGATCAATTGAATTACTTGCTTTTTTTTTTTTTAAGTAAAAGTGGTCTTTGCTTGTGTGTGTGTGTGTGTGTGTGTGTGTGTGTGTGTGTGTGTGTGTGGCCATCCCTTATTTTGTTTTGATTATGGTCTTGAAGTTTTCGTGAAGGCAGCTCAAGAAGCCGAGACCAAGTGGAGAATGACAATTCTGGGTTTCATTTTGAGTTCAGTGCACTAACTATAAGGCAGTGGAGGCCAACAAAGAAACACAAATAGAATACTGGTACCCCCCTCACCCCGTCCAGGAAAGCCCGAGAAAGTTTTCAGAATCTACAAGTTGGTTGCAGTCTGCTGAAAGTGCTCAGGAAAAGTGATTGGCTTTCTCAATTTCTATTTTTCTTTTCATTACCCCAACATTTTCTCACGTCTCCCCCTCTAATAATTTATACAAAGCAGGAGCTGAGTTGTAAAGAGCTCTTTCCTGCCCATAAAAGGCCTCGGTGGGAGTCAGCCCCAGGTCCCGTCCTCGGCCCGCACAGCTAACTTTCCGACAGGAGAGCGGGATCGTGGGGCCCGTGAGAGCCCGTGGCCTGAGGATTCTGATGAAACCGAGTGGGCCTGTGCTCGGCTATTTCTACACCTCACTCCGAGATGCCCTTGGCGCCTCGGAATGCCACCACTTTGGTGGTTGGTTTTATTTACCCTTCTCGGAGTCCTAACTGCATAGTTGGGTTGAGTTCGTCAGCCGGGGGAGGAGCCAACGTAGGCCCTCCTCCCAGTCTCTCTTTCTCCACTCATCTCCAGGTGTTCCTCCGTTTCACACCAGGAAGGTAACAAGAGAAGTCAATGAACGCTGGGTGGAACGGCCACATGACCTCTTCTTTTGAAAGACATGGCATGCCACTGTCTTTAGTCAATAGAGAACCATCAGGCGGGGTAGGAACTGCCCCACTGGCTCAGAGTTCTTGCTCCGAAATCACACCAAATCCTACCACTAGACAGACACAGGGCTCTTGCCTTTCGGAGGAGGGTCATACT